CTGGAGCCACATCATGTCGTTTTTCATTATGCATCCCAAACAAATTACCCAACAGAAAGACCTCTCTAACTTGGCTTTGGTACCAGAGCCATGTAGCATTCGAAAAGAAACTCCGTGGTTTCCACTTAGTTGTGCTTTGAGTCCTTGAGGTTAAAGCAAACCTGAAACTCAAAGTGAAACTCTGGTTAGAGTGAGAGGAAATATCTGAGAAGAGGAGGGGGAATAACCTTTGCTTAGAGCCCACCACAGTCTGAAAAGCTTCTCTGTAATTTGGAGACCATTGCAGCCCCTTTGGAGTTGACGGCCTGTTAGAAGTAAGACAAATTCAAATCTATACAAATGATTGTACAATTTCTTACAAATATATATATATGAAAACAGGACTGGCACAGAACAAGCCAGTATAATGTGGACTAAAGAGATCAAGTCATAGGAAAGAACATACAGAAAAAGAAGCATCTTATAACATAGGAGTAGCATCTAAGACAACAAAGTTACTTAGTTCTCTATCACAGGTTTTCTGTATTATCTTAGAAACCATACTTAATTCTTTGAACTCACATTCGGAAATGGAGAAAATTGTTACAGCTGTTAAAAGGCTCCACACATTCATAAAACGCTTTGAAATGCTTGGGTGGAAAATAGAAGAGAACACCTCGTAAGAATCACTGAGCTGATCAGCGTGAAGTTAGATACCAATTTGAATGAGATGCATGAACAAGTGACTTAACCTGGTTGAAGACTATTGTGCTCCCCATGGAAGTAACAACCACGCCAAAAAACTAGTTAGGGGAGGCAAGAAGCAGAAACGTAGCAGTTTCAGAATGATAAAACTGATGGACTGAATTGGGACTGAAAAAATACACTCATGTCTTTGGTTAAATAAGAACCACATCCACAGGAGAGGAGGAAGGGATAAGAGGGAACAAATGGAGAGGTATCACCATTTCCTGATCAACTGAAAGCCTATCTGCATCCCTCTACGGAGCTTCACCCATAACGATGCAGCCAGCTTCCAACAGAAGAGTTAAAGTCACCATTGTTTTTTCTCCAGTTCTATACTATATATTGCTCATGTGATTACCCCCTAAAAATCATAACCGATGTAATAAGAAAATAGTACTCCAAGTTGCTCAGTCCTCAAAGCTGCCTGCAAGTTCAATGGGCTATTTTATTCCTAGGCCTAGAAGCCTTAAACTCTGCTGATCACCAGAATGACTTTGAATGAGCCCAGCTACACTGGAACAAGCAACAGCATGAAAACATTTATACCAGGAAAAAAGGATGACACACACATAAATAGTTATTTCCTTCCACTGTCGGGAATAGCATTTGGTAGATGCACTAAGTGTATCCCTCCTGCAGCACAGCAGGCCAGGAATGTATCACTTGAATGACAACAGTGTGAGCAAGCTATCAGGCTTTCTGCTGTAGCAAAGGCTTTAAGATTGAATTGACAAATGTGTTTTCAAACCTAAAAATTAACTTGTAGCAGCTTCAACCTGTTTCCAATAACTCCCCAGTAGCATCTGCTGCAAAAATCAGGAAATACTTGTATTAACTATTTCAAAACAAATTATAAAGTACATTGGCAGTCTGTAGAGACCATAGCAGTTTTGCTCGCCATATGGAGAAGCTTTGGGCTGTTGTGGGAATGAAAAATGTAGCTGTTCAACAAATAAACTGTTCATATTCACCAGTTACATGAGCAGCAGAACTAAACCAGGCCTGATCTCCCACATCACGCTCCCTCCTGGGTTTCACATGTGCAGGAGGGGAAAACCTTCCCCAGAGCCCTTCCTTCAGCAGAGGCACTAAAAATGCTTTCACAAAGCTCAGAGAAACATTATCCTTTTAGACTTTTCCTTCTTTGGTCAAATGCAGTGAAATTCACTAATTCATAAAGTTACTAGAGGGGAACAGACAAAGGAGAGCCACGGCAATGCTTTCCTAAAGGCACCAGGCAGGAGGTCACTCATTTTGAAAAGATGAGGCAGAGGGGAGAACACAGGTCCTCGGGGGAAGCAAAAAGTTGTCTCAGTCTAAATGCAATGACATGTTTAATTTTCTAGGAATGTTAATCAGGAAGCTGGCAAGATACACCTCTTTAAGACCAAACAAAACATCAGCAACTGCAATTACTTTAGGAACTGTCTATGCTGCAAGTAGAATGACAATCTATCTTCCCGGTGCTTTCTTGCACTTCATACTTTTTCCTTTTGTTTTCATTTTTGTTTGTTTGTTTTCAGAGTTCCTACTGTTGTTGTTAGAAACAGAAGTACACCCCATATTTTTAACCCTAGGACTACAAAACACTGCATTTAAGTAGCCCGATTTTACATTACAGCCCACCCTCAGCCAGGTCTTGTATCACACGGCTTTTGCTAAAATCTTCAGCACAATCTTCTTTCCCCTAAGTTACACTTAGCCCTATCTCACGGGGTAAGAATGGGTTGCTACGCCCTACTGAATAAGCCCTGGAACCCAGAACATACTTAGTCAATGTATATTTATGCTTGAATTCACATCAGCAGAAACAGTGGATACAAAAGGCCATACATTACAGAAAGAGAGAGAGAGAGAGAAACGGAGGGAAAGGAAGAACACAAAAACTACAGATGCACAGAAAATGAGTTTTGAAAGATACCCTTCTAGAGCATATTTGCCTGCTATATCTAAGCCTTTGATGATCTATTCAACTCCCATCCCTCCATTCTTTCCAGAAGAAAGGAAGCTACATCTATTCATTTCTCAAATAAAATGTTAACTACCTGTCTCACCTATTCTGTGTCTTTCATTGCTGGAAATTTAGGGTGTTCAAATTCTTCCAGAAGGAGTCATGGAGTCAGTTGATGCTACCTGTGCTCCAGCTGAGCTTTAAAAGTGAACCTTGGAAGTGTTATCAGAGTCTGAGCTGACATTAAACAGTACATAAACATACTGCATGAAAATAATTACAGAGAATTTTATCTTGAAGGCTGAAGACAAATGTGATACACAGCTAAACTGTCACCTTAAGGCTGCTGTAAAACTACCAGAAGGAAACACTACTAAACTGACATGAAAAAAAGAGATTTCACTACGGGCTTGTGTGCTTGAACTCCCCTGTCCACCTTCGGCACTGCAGTCCCATCAGTGCAATGTACCCTACCTGACTGGACAGCTATTTCAATCAGAGATTCAGAACAGACCCATTATAGGCAAACACAGAATAATCCACCTCTAGAAAAGTTTCTCCCAAGCTTTACCTGCTGCTTCACAAAAAGCAGCTGATTTTCGACCCAAGCCCAAGCGTTTTCCTCCCTCCACTATGTTATCAAAGTCCACAGCACTAAAATCTTAGCAACAATGCCATATGTTGACTATGAGCTGTGTATCGTGAGCATACCTTGTCTTAGATTACTGTGAAATTTTCATTTACGTGGGCTGTTAAGTCTGCTTTTTTTGTGTGTTTTGGAACACAAAATAATTGTATTTACGTCCTTCAGTTTAGCACTTTGGTGGCACTTTTAAGATGATGAATCTCCTGCATGTTACAGCTGAATGAAAAGTCACAGACCTGCTGCGGGAATCCCTGAGCGCTCTGCACCCTGTGAGACAAGTCAATCAGTCACAGTGGTCTCTCCTGGCTGCAAGGCATATAAATAGCATGAATAAAAGAAATTGAATCTAAAGAGCAAAAAAAGAAAGCAAAGTGCTTTTGCATCGCAGTTCTCTACTTACCAGGACAGCAGTGGCATTAGATTTGGGTTACTGCCACAGATCGTATTCTCAAACCCAACATCTCTCACATGGCTGTAAAATAGCTGGCATATCTTACTGTACATATTTTCAGCTCTAGGTCATTTTTTGTTGCCAAAGCACTAACAAAGTTCTTCACAGGGGTCAGAGGACAGGACTTTACCCCTAGCTTGGTGGCTTCCGAGTTTAAGGAAAGCCAGTTCATCAGGACAGCGCAGCGCCTTCTCTCCCATGGTCTGTCTGTACCATTGGGGACTACTGCACAGTCGGACTGCAGCTTCTGTTTTAGAAAAACAAAACAAAACAAAACTACATAGCCTACACATCAGCTTCTGTATCTAGGACATGCTGCCTCACCGTGAAATAAGAGCTATGGGTGTATGCTTCAAATATGCATGCACACACAGCGCTGTATGAAAGATGTAAACAGCCCTTGCACTCTGATCCAGGTACCTTCGAGTTCTGCATAACTGAAACCTCTCATACCACAGAATTGCAGCATCGCCTATAAATACGTTCAGCACTTGTTGCTGACAAACAAAAAGTCCCTCTGCTTGAGACAGCCTGCTTACATGAACAAATCATCATATGACTGGAAAAGGCAGAAGAAAATAGCCCTGCTTTGGACTGTTCTTCCAGCACGGACAGCCAGGAGCGGCGTCGGCTGGGGTCACTGCTGGCAGGACCCTTGGCTGCAGCTGACATCCTGCAGCAAAGGGGACAGGGGACGGGTTTGACAGCCGAAGGAACAAACAGAAAGCAGATTTCGTCCACGAAAACGGACAGCTCTGGGCACAGAGGCTCCCAGCGCTTCTCAGGGAAACGCGGGTGGCATCGCCACCAGGGAGAGGCCCGAGGGAAGGGGGAAAAGGATGGAGCTATGCCTCACTTTTTTTAACAGGCAGCCCGCTGCTCACGGCTTTTGTCTTCCGCAGCGGCTGCGCGTTAATTCAATCTATTTAGAAAAAGAGGGGAGGGAAAAAATCTCTTTCCCTTCACCCCCGGTTTCAGAATTATTGTGTCTCCCGGGGGGAAGGCTGCGACTGAGACATTCGGTTTGGAAATGACTCACTCGGCAGCACCGTGGAGCCGGAGGGGCTATTTTTAATATTTTTTTAAATGGAGAACTTGCCCCGGCGGCACGGCTGGGCTCGGCCCGGCCGCCTCCCGCGGGTCCCCCCGGGCACGACCCCTCCTTGGGGCCGCGCTGCCCCCGCTCCCCGCTCCGCAGGGACCCCGGGAGCGTCCCCCGGACTCACCCCGCCGCTCTGCGGGGCGGGCGGCAGCGAAGGGCGCTGATCCAGGCTGCTCCGGGCTGCTCTCCGGCTGCTCTCTGGCTTCTCCGGCTGCTCTCTGGCTGCTCCGTGTTGCTGCTCCCCGTGCTGCTGCTCCGCACCTCTCCGCTCCCCGCTCCGCGCCCGCCGCGGGCTGCAGGACGCGCTGCGATCTTCGCCGCGATCTGGCGAAATTTGCCACCAACCGGTCAGGATTTTTACACTTCCTGGCTCCCGGCCAGCCCTTCTTTTTTTTTTTTTTTTTTTTTTTTTTTTACGATCTGCCTTCTGCTGGCTCCTCCCCGCCCAGACAAAAGGCGGCCGGGCCGGGGGGCCGAGCCGGGTCGGGCACCCCCAAGGGGTTGCGGCAGCGGCTCCCTCCCCATCCCCGGGCTCCCACCCCACAGTTTGGATCCCTCAGCCCTCGAGGGAAAGAAATCGGGGAGGCTGGGGGGGCTGGGGGCCCGTGCCGGGTCCGGCGGGGCGCACGAAGTGGCCGTGCCTTTGGGGCGTGCCGGGGGTTCGCCTTACCTTTTGGGGTTCCTCCTGCAGCCCCGTGCAGTGCGAGCTGCTCAGCCGTCGCCGTCTGCAGCAGGTATCGCTCAGGAAACTGCTGAAAAGTTCACGAGATTAAAGAAAAGACACGAGTAGGTGCAAGCAGCAAGCAGTTGCATCAAACGCATAACTCGGGCAGTCACAGTGACTTTTGGAGAGCAAATCCTTAGGTTAAGGTGCTGAGATTTGAAGTGCTTGAAGGAGGAAGACCGAATCAATAGGACAGTGTCGTTTGCTCCAAGTGTTTAAGAGGATTATGTGAATTAGTGCACAGCGTTGCTGATGCCTGGCAACCCAATGCACTGTTTTTGCAGACAGTTTTATGTCTTCAAACCATGATTTTACAACAGGGCTGGGTCTGCTCTGAACATCAGAGAAGCTGGTGCTACTCTGGAAGCACTGGGTTAACCCACCAGCCCGTGCTGGGATCCTCTGATGCTCTGAGTCGTTCTGGAAGCAGATGCAGGGAGCTCAGATGACACCACTCGCCACACGTCCTTGTAGGAGTGGTGTTCTCACGAGGCTGTTCCTCCTTTTCCATCTCCAGATGTGTAAAACAAAGAGTCACTGAGGCACTGCGAACCTTACGTACTGCCCACTGGTACTGCCAGAGCTGCACAAATCGGAGGTATTCTTATGAACATGAAAACCTGGAACTTGCCTTCTGACAAGCTATATGAGCACATACAGGAACGTGCTTCCAGTCCCAGGGCGGTGAGGCACATGATGACAGCCGGTGTCTATCCAGCACTTAAAGTTTTAGTGCATCTGGTAATCCACCAGCAATTAAAAGCACAAATTGTCTTTCATTTTGCATCTGCTTTTCAAGCCAACAATCACTAATTTTTCAGAGACAGCACTGCAGACATGGAGTGTGAGTGGTGGTCTCCTATCGGTGGCTCGTGATAGGGCCGGGAAGTGACGGCTGCTCTGAGACTGGAGAGGCAAGGGTGTGGTTTATCACAGCTCAACTGTTCTCTGTGGGCCAGCAAAGATCCTAAAGAATTTACACACAAAGCAAATGGTGACCTCACGTACCTGGTCAGTGGTGTGCTCCATCTGACAGAAACGCTGCAAGAAAAAACAAGCAAGAGATTTAGGGCAGGAGTTACCTAACTTTAGAAGTTAGGTGTGAGAAATGAACATTCAGGTAAAAGCAGTATAGACCCTGGGACAGATCTCAGATTCTGACATTATGTGAGTATAGTAAAATCGCTAGTTTTTTGTTGTTGTTTTGTTTTGTTTTTAAAAAGTGTACAAGCCAGCATCTTTCCCCAGGTTTAAACTCACATGGTTATGACTCACAACTTGAAAATACATTTCAGGTGTGGGACGAACACCTGAACATGCAGAGGTCTGAGACCCCACGTTTAGGAGGGGAAAGCCGTTCACCAGACCCCTGGGGCTCTAGCTTCAAGACTACCACCAGGAGACATCATTGCCACAACACAGACTTACTGTGAGCATCCTGTTGTATGGCTGGACTCCCGCTTGTGGGAGAAGATGGAGGAAAGAGACGAAAAGATCCCTGCCACCACAACAGGAAGAAGGTGGGAGCCACTTTAGTTTACTCTTTAGGAAGCAGCGAGGCCTCAGTGTCTGTGTAGAGACAGCCCTTGTCACTTACACAGGAGCGTATGTACTGGGTAGACTTTAATACACAGCAAGGACAGACAAGAAAGATCATTAGAAACGTTAGCACAGAAGAGAAAGATAAAAGACTTACACTGGGATTCATCTCACCCAACTTTATCTACCTAAGAGTACACAAAACCTCTTGTAATCTACTTGTCTGGGCCCCTTTAGTAGGGAAAGAGGCATGTCCAGAGGTAATTCACCTCACATAGGTCAGACAGCTCTGTTAGGTTAGGAAGAACTGCCCTCTGGAAACGACTCTCTGCCCCAGCTGATTATGAAAGGTGCTGCCCAAAACAACCCACCTAACTTCTAGAGGCAGGTAACTCCTGCCCTAAAGCTTACCTGAGTGGGACGGAGTTGCAGTGGAAGGGATCTGATGAGAAAAGAGCTGTCTGCTAGATTGAGAGGTGAGGAAAACGACCTTCAGTAGCTCAAGTTTCTCTTTAAGCTTTGGTGAGACCAAAAAGAAAATAATTTGGTTTCTGAAGAAAGATCCTTGCTTCCCACAGATAAGTGATAATTTACAAATGTCTGCTGAAGCACTGGAGCCAAGAAGTGGTGTGAATGAACTGCTCTTCACTTTATGTGCAAGGAATTTTCTCTTCTTTGGCCTTGCTCAAGTCTACAGCATCATCCTGAAGAACTGAAAAGCAAGCAAACTGACAACATCAAAGATGTTGCTACTAACATTCAGATTGAACGGATATGTGAAAAATAGCTGCAGCCTTAATTTTGTTTTTTGACACTCTGCCCTGACACCACACATCCTCTCTGCAGCACGCTTGATAGCAAGACAGCCTCGAGCACACACACGTCCTGCTCTCACACAGTTTGGTGTTCAATAAGAGCCAAACCACAAAAGTTGTGACTAACAGATGTGACCTTTAATTGGCTTGTTTTATAATGCACTTGATGATGGGAAGAATCCACAGCATAGAGCCATGGCTTTGTGTGTGTGATCTGACAGGTCTTCAAGATGATCTGCTTCCCAGAAGTGAGTTCTGGGGAACAAAACACAGTGTGGTCTAGCAGGGCAATGAGGACAGCCATAACATCTGAAAAACATTCCTAATTCTGGCACTGATTTTCAAGGGTCTGAGGGCTGCAGCTGAACCAGGTTAAGTGGTTGCCATCACTCAGTTTGCTCTTATTCTAGCCACCAAAGGTCTCTTTCCCTTGCCATCTGCTGGGACAGCACGCATTTGCTCTAGCTGTCAAATGAGCAAGCGAGACAGAGAGCACGCAAGCAAGCAATAAAAAATTGCCTTCCACTGAAGTGGATGGTTTAGATAGAAGAGGGTTAGGGAGTGGCTATGCTTGAGGTTAACTTGCAGATTCTAGCAAGGAGTGTGGGGCAGATGGCTGGGGATGCGCTGCGAACAGCAACCTCCTATCCCAGCGCAGTCACTGTGAGGACAAGGAGTTTAGCAGTGCTGGAGTGACACGGTGGAAATTGTCTAACAATTTGTTTCACCTTTCTCTTTGAGCAGCAGAGAGGAAATTCCATGTAGCAGTGATGCTATGAAGCTCAAAGAACTCATGCAAAAAGATCATTTTTTTTTCTTTAGTTCTTTCTTAATATTAATTTTTATGGTTTCAAACTCGGAGAAGCAAAGGGAGGAAAACATCTCCAAGGCATGGGGTTGAGAGTACATTATTCTACTAATTTTACAATTCAAAGCTCTGGCACAAATGAAGTTCAGGAAACAATACCTAATTCCACAGAAGAAAAAAAAAATGCATCTCTATTATATCTGGAGAGAAATAATTCAAATCACAACTATTCATTGGGAAGGAGGATTCTCAGAAGCTGTAACACCGAAAGTGACCTAAACTAGCAGGACAGCAGACAGTAAATTAGACATGCCTGTAATATGAGATGATGGGTGGATTGGGGGTGAACAGAAATAACAAAAAATCACAATGGGCAGTATGCTTCATAAACAGAAGCTGTAACAAAGGCCTGTGTTAGTGGTATTATAGTATAATCTCCTGGAATATTGCATTCAGTTCTGAACACCTCATCAGACGGGCATTTACAAATATAAAGGAACACATTTTTAGAAAGTAGGAGTGATAAGGACTGATTTACAGACATTGTCATATGAGCTGAAAGAGCTAAACACATCTGGTTGTGCTGTGCACGAGGTATAGGACACAATGCTACAAAAATCAGGAATGGGATAAGGCACCGTGGGAGTCTGCAGAAGTAAGAGCACTGTTATTGTGAAGAAGGAGAAAAGAGGATGAAATGAGACACCGAAGATTAGGATAAGTATTGTTACAATGACTTGGCTATAAGATGCACTACCTGGTGGAGCAGTTGTTCAGGAACACTTCTTCTTGTGGTATTTTAAATAAGCACAATGCTAGTGTTTATGCCTTGGCTTACCAAGCACAGTGGGCTAGTTGATCTTTTACAGAGGAATTTTCCATCTCCAATTTCTGTGTTTCTAAAGCTTACTCTTCCGTGGAGTGCTGTTTGTCACGTCAGTGGCAAACCTCCGATGGAGAAGACAAACAAACCAGCCCTCAGGGAGAGAAGATCTAAATGAAGAAAAGAACTGAAGCATGTTTGTGTGTGATGCTTTACAGTCATACCACGAATCACAGTCAGGCAAAAAGAGTGGCAACAAGCCTGCTTTATACTGACCTCTGTTAGAAATCATACTATAAATTTCCAAAGGGGATGAGCAAGCAGAACAAACCCTTCTTTCCATCCTCCTGCTTTAATTCTTCCCATCCCACCCCCGACTTTGTCTCTTTAGCATCTCCATCTCCCTGTGGCTTTTATCCCCAAAATTAGTAAACTAAATGTTTAAATTAATTACTTAGAATCCTACACATCCATCCTAAATCCTCTCAAAGCTGATTTCGATACTCTAGACCTGAGTGTTATGTAAAATTTTCAAAATGCCATGTTTCAGTCAATCCTCAGTTCAGCTCCCACCACCTCTGAAGTGTTTGTTGGCCATTTCTGAAACACACTGCTGCCCTCTTGTAAAATCCTTTTGTCCTGCATTTTGGAGCAATTACCTCCTTAATTGCTTCATCATTTTATCTTCCTGAAGGAGGGTCTTTTGTTTTGGTCACTTTTCCTTCATCTTGTCTCCAGGTAATAACACACCAAAAAAATTAATTACCAGTGCATGGCTGTACTCTCTATTCCAGTCCTAGCACTTCTTTTTCTAGTTTATAATATTATATATATATACATAAGATATGACCCTTCTGCTTCTTCATTTCAGACCTTTCCTCTCTAGATTCTCATATTTGAACAATGCCTACATTTTCCAGATACTTTGTGTGGTTTCTTTCAAATAATGTCCTTATTTATTCACAGAGCAATACATCTCAGCCTGACTTGCCACTTTGTATCAAAATTACTGTGATACCCCCTCCTTCAGCTATCAAAAATGATACGGGTCTTCACTCATACCCACGCAGAGTACTGCTACAAATATCATTGCCCTAGACTCTCACTTCGGGTGTGATACTTTTTACTTTCTATCCCTCTCTTGGACAGTTCTCTGCTTATCACCACAGCTCTCAGCCCTGCCAAAGAAAGTCCCTGCTGTTCTACTCGCTCTCTCCTTCCTCTGCCTTCTGACAAAGCTGGCAAGGAGGAACCATGCTTGTAACAGTGTCTCTGCCTGCCTCACTGAGAACTGTTGGTGGAGGTCTCATACCTCACTTCTACCCACTCCAAATCAACTATTTTCTGTAAAATTAGTCAGAGCTGATGAGTGATACCAGCCTCAGAGCCCAGGATAGCTGAGATCCTCAGCGTGTGCCCTTAGAGCAAGGAAGACCCCAGCAAGCAGCGACACAAGTTCCTCTGCTGCTAGCACTGCCTGCTTGTGAGCCTGATTTATGGGGCCACTTTCAGGTCGTTCAGGACCTGCCAGTTGTGACAGCAGAGAGGTCACCACAGCAAGTAATTTTGGCAAGGTGGCCAATGGCTCGGGTACCAGCTGCACAGAGTTCTGACATTTCATGTATCAGCTGTCTGCTGGCAGCAGCTTGGGGTTATATTCTCTTTCAGAGCTGCACACCCAAAAGAGTATGCACGCGGTATAAGGCATGTGGTATAAGGCATCTTTCTTATGGCAAAACAAGTGAATCACTAGGTGTTAGATGACTTACTGGTGAACAAACGCCAAATCACACAGTTCTAGTAACAAGAGGCTTCTAAGGTGCCTTCCTGTATTCATCCCTGCTTTGCTGTGATTCATCTGTTGGTTTTTGGTTTGTCTTTTTTTTACTTCCCACATCTTGCTCGCTGACCATGCTACGCTCTGTGGGTATAAAATGGCTGAGACAGAAGCATTCCGATGTGGTGAAAGCCACTTACTGTGGGTAGATCTCTCAGTCAGAAGTACAGATTTTCTTCCTTAAAATGTCTAAATGCATTCAGCACCACTGCTGTGCTTTTATGTAGCTCTGAGAGCCAGCTGAAGTCAATGATTCTGTGTGAACACAGCAGAAGGACACATTCACCTCCTGAGCTGACTGGCACAAGGAGCAGCTTAGTCAGAGGCCAAGAAGAAGTCATGTGTTGCATCAGAAGTGATCAGAGTGGCTCTGATGTGTGTATTTTAGCCTTCCCACAACCGGTGGGATGATGGGCAGACGTGCCTTTTCCACTCTGAGCAGGTTTCTCATCTGTTGTCACGTGGCATGTGCTGCTGAACTAGCACAGTCACTGACAAATCATCCCCACCTCCCAGGGATGCCTGGAACTTGCTTGATGATGGGAGGAACTACAACACCCAGCCAGGTGCCACAGTCTGAATTTACTGGTTTTTAGTTCAGTGCTTATTTTCTCTTCTACTCTTGACTCCTGCTGCAAATGCCAGGTCCTTTCTTTCAGACTTAGCAGTACTACTCGAGCTAAACTGGACAATGCCTTTAGTAACTAAAGGATCCTAGTTTGTCTGTCCAGGAAAGGGGTCATGCTGTGGGGGAGCATGTTGTGGTGGGGCACGAAAGGGAAGAAGAAAACCCTCAGTGATTCAAAGAGAAAGGGACTATCAGAGTTAGTGTGTTGTAACTCTGCAACTATACCCCTTTTTCTTGACCAGTTAAACTCTATGTATATAGATACTCTAGAGTGGCACAGAAGTGATGAGTGAGGCTATGTTTTAAGATTAAAGCAGAGAGGCTGAGAAGGCTCGGTGCACAAAGGGAGGGATTTGACTGACAGACTACATTTGAATACGCGGAGTAAGATGCAAATCCCCAGAATATGCATGGCTTGTGAAAACTACAGGGATGGTCAAGTGAATGACAGCTCCAAGGAGTATTCCTCTATGTTATCAGACACCTCTGATCCCAAATTATCTCTTGTTATGAGATAGCTCTTTTGTAGCAAAAAGCTATAAACTACACCAGCGTAGCTGAGATGGGTAGTATTTGTAGGGGAGAAAGGATATAACATGACAGAAGAGCTACTTCACTTAAATGAGGGTGCAGACTGAGCATCAATCTTCTGCGTATGAGAACTCTGTAAGCTAGCGGGGCCTGTGTGCTTGTGGAACCCAGCTTGTGATTGCGAGGATGAATGTATGGAACTAGAGAAGCCCATATGCGTGTATTCGTACTGCTTATGAGCAGTACTGCACGGTGGCCAAATGGCTGTGTGTACAGACATGCTCTCCTGCAGAGAGCTTACTTGGGTGTTTGAGTGCCAGCTGTGGAATTTGTCTAGGACTGTACATTTGTGTGGATGAGAGTCGTATCCTAACCGTGCCAGTAAGAAGCTGGGCAATGCGGTTTGTCACATCTCCAATTCTCAGAATTTTTCTCAGTCTCTCAGGTTTTTGATTTATTTTCAAAAACTCTCCACAGAGGCTGTTCTTTATGTGAAACTTACCCTTGTGCCAGGCAAGACTGGAATTTCAGCTATTCATAAAGGAAATCCAAGTCTGTGTGTGTGTGTGCAGTGCCAATTCACTAGAACAGACATAAGGCCAACACTCAGGCTTTGCAATCAAAAAAATACAACAAATAAAATGGCCTCCCTTCCCCACCATTTGCACACCTTGCTGAAATGTGTGAAATCCAAATGGCAAAACCAGTTCAATTAGACAGTAATTTATGCTGGATTATCACTCACCAGTGCCAAGCGTACTATGCCCTGAGCACGTGCCCTCTCTCACATCCTCTTTCTGCAACACAAAGTGCATCTGCTGAGGTCACAGCTAAGGAAAGGCACAGTCCTGAACTGTGGAAAAAATACCTTTAATGAGACATCAGTAATGCAACACCTGGGCTAGCACTACGTTACATCACAGGTCAGTAGCTCTATCAAGTAGGGCACATATGTAAATAGCAACAGACTGATGCTCACCTGTTCTCCTCATGAAGAGATACTGTGTCAGGCTTTATCTAGTGCATGGGGTTGCTCCTTGAGAACGAGGTGATGTTCAGGCCTACGCAGGATTTTTGAAGTGAAAGGCAAAAGTGAAAGGCAAAAGTGAAAGGTATGCAGTTACATGTCGTCAGACAGATCCGACTTTCACCATGAATGTCAACCTGTTTATAAATGAGTAGTTCTACCAGTGACAGAGATTCTTGGTTAGTCTAATTTTGCTGTCGTTACAAGCAACTGAAAACTGGCAACCTGTCTAAGTGCGTAAATCTCAGCTCAGGCAGACTATCCAGGACCCCAGGTACCCTGTGTTTAGTTAGCAGGCAATGTACCATATTAATGGCCAGAAAGGATCTCCACCACTATTTTTACCTGTGTTAGCCAAATGAAAGCTAGCAAGGGATGTTCTTTGTTCTTCATTCACTCTGTCTTTACAATTGCAGACATATTTCTTTCCATGTCTGTGTTGTCCAAGTCTGTGAAGGGCAGATGTCTTGCTGAGGAAAATTCCATGGCACAATGATGGCACCTGATTCTGGGAGGAGGCAAAAGGAAATAACTGGGTTAAGATGAGATAAGCAATGTTGTCGCCAAATATGTAGTCACTGCCTCAACTGCAAAGATGGTGAAGCTGATTCTAACTGACCATAATCCAATTCCACATTGTCCCTTTCTATATAAATCTAAATCATAAATTTAACCCCCCAAAATCTGCAATAAATACAGAAACTTGAGCAATGAATTCTTCTGTCACCTCCCTTACCCCTGAAAGAGATATTTTGCTGACAGAAAGATATTTTTTTCATCTGATGAAAGTTCCAGCAGGCAGCAGTGCTCAGGGGAAAGAAAGTCTGTGCGCACAGGATACAGGCTGTATGCACATACCTTCTTGTGTGAGCCTGGCAACAGGGACGGGAGGGCAGAAGGAGCCCAGATGAGCAGCTGACCCTAGGAAGATATGGATGCTTATAGCTGCAACATGTTATTACCACTACAGTGAGCCTCCAGTGTTTACTGTACACATACAGAACAGTATGCAAGGCGGTGGGGCTGTTTGGATAAATAAACAGAAAAGGCCAGGGTCCGAGTCTGACTGAACAATAGACTGGGGAGAATGTGAACCTCCTCTTTAACTGGACTTCCCTCCAGGAAACCTAACTTGTAATAAAATCCTCCTGTATCCTGTGCCCTAGGCTGGGGGTGACTCAGTTCCAGCTAATCATGTAGATTGTATTTGGAAGAGATGAATGCATGCTGCTGAATGCAAGTAAGAAAGTATTCTGGAAGAAATCTTCCTGCACTAGATGAGAGGAGAGTTGGCCTTAGCATTTGGGAGAGGTTCATCTTTTCCTCAAGCCCCCATAAATCCGACTGCTCCTTTAGTCAAGTCATGTACCAGACCTAAACAATTCAAACATCCACTCCTGCTCCTTTATCTTGAGAAATAGGAATGGTTTTACAAACATGGGAAATATCATGACTCCAAGGGAAGGAGAATGTTAGAATTTGAGGCTCAAGATGCTTGGGTTTTGAACTGCACAGTATTTGAGGCATACCTATTTGGATTAGAAATCTATCTGGTTCTGAAAATTAAGCTTCCCTTGGACATCTGAAAATCTAAGGCATCAGTTTTTCAAGCTATGGCTTTACGTAAGCTGGCCAAGAGAACAGAGAGAGTTGGGACAGGAAATTTCTAACTCAGAATCAATACTGGAGCCCAAACCTGGAGCGTAAGAAAAGCAGTTCTCAACCTTTTGTAATTAACAGCCCGACTAATTTTCTGGAAGAAAATAACAAAGGGGGACAGGAAATCTCTGGAACATTTTTTATGCTGCTGGTGTTTAGCAATCAGGAGATTAATAAATAATGTGTTTGACATCTATTTAATAAAATGCTAATATTTTAGAAAACAATTACATGTTGTAGTTACTTTAACTGGAGTACTGATAACACAAACTGGCTTTCAGCAGGTGGAGGTCAGCAAGCATTCCACGGACTGTACTCAGATGTCTTACGGAGGGATGGTGGTCCAGGGTTCACAGACTGATAGCCACTGTTTGAGAGCACGTGACAGCAATCTTGAAAATCAAGATAGTTAGGATCTCTGTGTGCTCTAGTGTTTACTATGACACTTAAGAAAAAAAAAAAGCAAATAAGCATATTTACAGCTGAAACGGATTAGGTCACTAGACTTGACTTGTCAGAACTAATGTAGAATCCTTTTGGCAAAAAAAAAGAGATATTTTCACCTCTTTCCATAGGATTTGGAAGTAGACTATTTCTATTTTCATATTTCCTGTTCCAGGAAGGAAAGAGGGCTTTTCTTTTTATTTTTTTTTAAGTATTTTTTTTTTTACTCCAGACTTTTCTTTCCTAGTTGAATCAAACTCAAAACAGCGGTGATACCAAAAGAGTTATGCTTCCTGTTTCCTTCTGCTTAATAAGAAAAAAAAAAAAAAGAATGAACTGCTGAAAATGCAGCATATTTAATAATATATTTAATAACTAATCAACATCCCACTTTCTTCACATGCTGTTTAATATGTACTTATTAATGTAAGTCCTTACATTAACTAGTATCTCAAATGATTATTTCTTTGTTTTTAGAATGGCAGACAGGAAAAATATCAAGGATTTTTGCTTACTGCCCCATTTTTTCTAGTTCTGACCCTTTCTTCAGTTTACTGAGTTAGATAATTTCCACACTGTATTTCCCAATTACACATAGCAGGGAGGATCCTGAGTACTCAAAAATTCACACTGACTTTTACTATAAAAGCAGAGGCCAATGCTAGACTAAATCCAATTTGGGCTGCAATACGCTGATTTTACCTAGGAGGTAGGATTTGTTATGCAATTGCTTTTTTCTTCTCTCTTCCTACAAGTATAGTGCAATTTCGTGTGCCATAAATCACCTGACATGTTCCACTCCAGAAGTGGCTGCAACAACTGCAAGTGTTTACCAGTTATATATGTTGCAAAATATTTCTGGGGCTATAAAATACAAAGTGTGACACATTTTCCTCACTGTTATCAGAATGTCCTCTACATTTACAGCAATGACACGGCATTTGCAGTGTACACACCACCTCACTGATGACTAAATGGAGGAACAGAAACTTCACTCAGTCCATTTCATACATGGGTGAGATAAACAAAAAAATTAGAAGCCTGATTTTCAGAGGCCAGCTGCAGGCTGTCACACCTCCTGCTGAAAATCAGATGAGGTTACATCTGCATTGTAAAGTTCAGTAGACCAAGAATCTGCAGAGCTACAGAGTTGATGCTGAGGATCTGACATCCACATTACACTTACTGAAGATTTTTTTTAATTCAAACCATCTTCATTTGGGTCTCCTGGGCTGAGTACCTATTGAGGTCAGAGCACATTAAGTGCACTTCTTGAGAACACTTTCCAGTTTAGTTTCACTGCAACATAATCTATTCCATGCACTCCAAAATCAGCCCGAGAAGCAAAACAAAACAAAACAAAACAGGAAATGGAGCTGACCAGGAGACCTGAGATCTCTCACAGCAATGAGGACACATCATAAGCAGTTCTGGCAGGACTGCTGCGACGGGGTTTCTGATATTCTGTCCCACATTTACCTTAATTCTCTACAGGTTACAACCACGTTGTAGAGAAAAGGCATAAATGACTGACACATGCTTAGTTCTGCTGTTTTCAGATTGGTTTTAAGCTCCTGCCTCTGGGCACAGCTCCTGAAGGACTAAGTAACTGTACTTGTCTAAACTGTAATGGTTTGTATCCCAGGGTACGAGAATTCACTCTGCATCACTTCCAGACACGCTGATTCAGAATAGCTGGTGTCACTAATTTGACTTAATACCAAAAACCTGGGCTTGTGTTGATTTAAGTATCATGTTTCCCGGTGGAAGGAATTTTTCTTGGAAGCACTGCTACAGCTCCACGGTATTTGTGCTACTGCATAATGAAGTTGCACAACATTACATCACTCTGTATTGGCAAAGTATCGTGACAACATGAGGATTCAGGCAGTAGTGCTCCCATGTAGCACTGGCGTGAAGAGTTACAGGCAGAACTGGAGAGTCTGTTAAGACCTCGTTTGCTCTACTATATTTATATTGCCTGGTGTAATCACAGCTTTCTATACAGACACACTGAAACTATAAATGTCAGCTACCAATGTACAGCCTTTCTGTTGCACGAATAAATCCTCTTCCTGAGCTGACACAAATCCTCAGCAAACATGTAGGTGCCAGAGAAAAACTCTACCGATGAAGCTGTGTCTGCAGCTGTCTTCTCTGAACTCCTGCTCCCAGGTAGCGGGTGCTCTGCCAACACAATCTTTCACAGTGAAGGTACATGGCTTGGGTAAAAGCAACCAAGTACCCAATGACAGGGCAACACCAGTAGCTATAAGCCAAGGAATGACTTCCTAGAGATGATATTAGGCTCACAGGCACTGGGTTTACCTATCAACTAAGGTAGTTTTATAAACTTGTAAGAAGCAGATGTTTTTTTAGAGAAATATTGGGGAGTTTGGTTTAAACAACAGGCATTAAAAAAAAATAAAGGATTAACAAAACAATAACAACAAAATTCTAGGTTCAGCTGCACCATTCTTAAGGCTGCGACACTCATCAGCACCCCTTCAGTGCAACCTCTGGTACCACGAGGCATGAATCCCATTGTTGATGCTGATTTGTGGCCTCATTCAAGTGCACAGTGCTGTCATTGTGGGGAAAAGGAATGAAGTCAGCTTGTTTGCCGGATGTACCATCTCGCAGGAAACAAAACAACAAGCACACCAATACTTAGGTGCTCTGCTTGGCATGGCAAAAGACCCAGGCTATCACATCAACCTACCTAGCTGAGGGGTCAGGACTACATATAGCATGTCCCAACAGAATGGTTTTTTTGCAAGCTCCATTCTGCATGGTCCTTTTGCTGAAACACCACAGATAGCCACATCCATAACACATTTTGAATAAAAATAAATAAATAAACCAACAATTAAATAACATTAAGTCAGTGAGAAACAATGGGGCTTAGTAAACAAAGCAAGAATTTTGTGCTTTCAAAAAATAATCGGTCAACGACAGCTCCCATCTCCACCAGCTTGCTCTCTCCCCCTTAGCCAGCACGGTGTGTGCAGCCAGGACAGCGCTGCCTGAAGCATCATGAAAGAACACATGGGAAACAGTTTTATTTGTTTTCAGCTCCAAGAGCACTAATCATTCTCATTACTCGGTGCCTGTAGCCATTGTAGAGCCAGCGTCCCCCAGTTCAGAAAATGCACATTGGTTTTTATCTTAATGTACCTGGTTCTTCCCAGTCTGCTCCTTTTCTTAAGCAGGACAGAACTTGTACTGGTTCCTGCAGAGGAAAGGCAAAATGGACATCAAAAGCTGTCAGAGACTGAAGTGAAACTGAAATACTTTACATTTGGGGCAAATCTAGCTTTTGTGTTTGCTTAGTAAAAGTGTAGTCCCTGTGGGGCCAGGAAAAAAAAAAATCTAATATTATTTTTCTGTCTGCTACCAGGTTTCTCCATGACCCAGGCAAAGTCAACAGGGCAATTTCTGCCTCAGCTCCCCAAGGCGTGGTACAGCAGCCCCGTGTTACATTGCCAAGGGCAGCTCACACACAGAAGCTCTCCTCCACCAACCACACTGTGCTCTCCAGGGCAGAGCTCACGCCCTGCTGGCCCTGGGGGCACTTGTGCTGGTATTTTAGCTGTCTGTTGGCTGTTCTGCTTGGCGTTTCCTGTTGCAGAACGCTCGCCAAAAAACCCCAGCCTGTTTTCGACTAAAACAGTCCCAATGCAGGCATAATGCTGGCAAAAGAAATGCAAGTTTGAGGGCTCCCGTGCTTTCAAATGTAGCTCATTATGTTTCCATCCAAACCACATTTTTGGCAATGAGGACTGTGAGGTACAACAAACGCATACACAATGGTAACAGGTACTTCTTCTGGTGAAAGTTGGCACTAATTTCTGTTAAACATGCTTCATTTACTGTGTAGTACATGTTGTGGGCTGGGGGTGAAGACTCTTTCCATGTACCTCACATGCCCCACTCGAAGAGCTTTCCTTAAAAGAAAGATAATTATTTTGTACTGTTTCATATTTCTTATCCCATTGGTAAGAGGCCAGCAGAGAGCTACAGGAATTCAATTTGTTTGTGGCATAATGTTTGGCATTAACATAATCTGAAGTCTTAAAGTAATTAGATAATTTCTGCTGTTCTGAGGTGACCAGAAATATAAGCACAAAATTATAGAGCTATCACAGCAAACAACGTGCTCTTAATTTATGGTCGGTACCAAGTAAGGAAATGGAATTATTTCTTCTTTTGACTACATAAAACCATTTTGTTTCGTACTGCCCCGGTCCTTATCCAGCCCTTATTCCCAGCGTATGTGTGCAAACAGCCATAAACACAAAGGCTGTAGACACAACTGGCCAGCCATGGCAGGTTCAAGAAGCTCAAAGTCAGCTCTTGCTCCAGGATAACTTGAGCTAGGAGTTTCCATGACAGAGTGGACATAGCATTCACCACAGCATTAGTGACAACATGGTCACTAATAGATATTTTAGAAAAACGTATAAAAATTGGCAGAAGACAGTAACAAATAGATTGCCTACAGGAAGCATCTTTTTGTAGTCTCATCTGTTAGAGGCTGGCTCATATCCTGAAATTGTAGGTGCACAAACACCACTACATTTGTGCTATTTCTAAAAGGCCAGAGGCGAAATATCCGATATATCTAGGATATATGGAACACCCCCTCTGGGGATTCACTACCCACACTTAAGCAATAGCAGATAAATAATGAAAAATCAATTATGTTTTAAAGTGCCCTTTAATTTTAATAGTCCATGGCGATGTTAATAACAGAGGGAAGGGCATTTTTACAGCATTTACCTTGACATTTACCCTTATGATGCCTTAGCAATTTAAGAATGTGGTTGTGATGAGGTAGAGCAGAAGAAAGAAGGATGACATTTATATTCTGGTTTCTTAGTATTTACAGTACTTCTTGTCTGTTTTGAGGCATTTCTACAGAGATTTTTCTGAGTGTATGGGGTGTACCTCATCTTGTCTGGGTTTTAAGCCACCCAAAGCAATTAGAGAAAGAAACTTCTTTTTGATTGTTTTCTTTTTTGTTGTTGTTTCATATGTGTGATGACGGTATTGTTGAAATAAATTGAGGTTTTATGATTTTCTTGATTATTATTTCTTATTGCTTAAACTTGGACTTCTTTGAACTGGTCAGTATACATGTATTAACACAGAACAAAAAGACAATTCCAACCCATAAGGCAGAAATAAGCCCTATGTAATCACAATTTCAAACCAATAAAAAGCAGGAATTGCAACCATAGGGGCCTGACTGACTCCTTGATAATGGGATATGAATCCTTTTCCTTACTAAGATGCAATTTAAAGAAGTGACTCTTCTGTCACCTGCTCTGACACAAAATGAGCTGATGGGGTTCTTGTTGCAGCCAAGATCCCAACTTTCCAGCTGTCATTACCTCACAGCTCTGCAGGCAACCTAAGCCACAAGACCAGCCAATTTCTTGAAGCTTATGAGTGCGTGATGCCAGCTCTCTCTGCCACTGCCCACAGCGCACCTAACAGCCTGCGTTTATCACAAGCACAAACTGAGCACAACCACATCTAGGTGAAGTGCTTGAACACTGGCCTCTTCCTTGGAGCATTTTGTACAGTGCCCTGCAAATTTACAAGCAATTCACATTACAAAATGAGTAGTTCTGTGCTCTCTACACCCTACATCTCGCTTTGAAGAACACTGCACTGGTGTATTCACAAGCCTTTGCTTACCTGCAGGCAGCATTCCCATCCCAGGAGGATGAGTTGGAGCATGAGAGGCTCCCTGCTGGGAGGCCCCACGGCACGCAGTGGTTAAGGCAGGCAATGCAGGAGACGGCGATCAAGTGGGGTTTCGACTGGAAAAGTGGAAGGAAAGCAAGAAACTTGAGCAGAATAAAAATGGTTAAGCAGAGATTACAGGTTGCATTACCATAACCTTGGCTTGTGCCTGCAGCTGACTCCAAAGGGCTGTGCTGTAGCAAGACTTGGTAATGAATACAGAATTTTAAACTGATGAAATATTTCTAGTCTGTTTGTTGATACTGGCATCACTGCATTCTCAGAGTCAGCCCTTGATGTTTCACTCAGTTTTGAGGCCTAAACTGGCCAGAGGTCACCAGAGTGGCTGGGACTGTCTACACAGAAACTACTCTCCTGCTAGTAATGTTTTCCAGTGACAGAACCTACTAACCACTTGCCTGCTGGAGGTAAGTGCCTCTGTTGGAAGAAAGAAACCATGCAACTGAACAGCACGTTTAAGTTTTGCTGTTTTACATATCAGCCTTGAAGGAGCCCTTTCTGGCAGCTGCAGCTAACCAATGAACTCTGACAGGTTCGAGCCTTTCCCTTTCTGCCTTCTCCCCCATACTGTGACCGGCAGGGTGGGGCAGGAGCCACATTAAAGGGGGAGGCCGGGAGCCCAAACTGGTGTTGGCCTTTGCTTCACCGCCCAACCTCAGCATGGCCAAGTCACGTTGAGCGACAGCAACAGGCTAATGTATTTAAAAGGAGAGAAATGTCCCCTTCCATGAATTTTAAACTTTGTATTTATCCTTTGCCAGCTCTGTGGTTTGTTTGCTTCTTTGTTTTTACAAGAGAGATTAAATGTCTCACTTTTGTCCCTGGTGGTTTGCTCCTTCTGTCTTGCCAGTACTGACTCTGCTATACTGTCGGGGTTGTGAACACCTCGGGGAAAATGTTTCAAAGAATGCTTTAATTAGCTTTAAAAAAGCAAATGAAGCTCCACTGCTGTAAGATACGTTGCATGAAGTTTTCTCCCAGGAGTTTTGTGAGCATTAATGCATAGTTGTTAAGTCTGGATGAGATCTTGGATAAGGAAAGTTGTAAAGGCTCGGTATTATGCTTGGCCAAATGCTTTCTGCTGCAAAATGTTCAGCTTCCTTTAGCTCTTATGATACTTTACTGTTTGAACACATTCATAAGCGCAAGAACTGACACAGTCTGACCGGTCTATCAAATTTTATAGGGACAATATTGCAGCAGGGGGGAGAAAACACCTTAGATGAGCGACTAATGTGCAGTGGCTTCTTCACAAGAGTGCTAAGCTGCTCACTTTCCAGTTTTAATACAGACAAGTGTCCACACACACAGCACATGGAGAGTATCTGTTAGCACAGAGCTTTACAGATCGCATCTGTCAGCAGTGGTCTCATCCTCTAATTAGCAGTCCCGTCTGAAGAGTCTCAAGTATCAGCAGTTGAAGCTGGGAAGGCGCTGGCTGCTTCAGCACAGAGGGCAGGGAAGAAGGAATACTGTCATCTGGGAAAGCTGATTGAGAACTGACGCTGAGCAGTACAAACCTGAGTAATAACCATGTGGTTTTAGTCCATCCCTAAAAAATTCATAAGAACATTCAAAATCTGTCAGGATGACAGCTATCTAGTGAGCAGAGCTGGAGCCAAATGCCACATCAGTGCGACCAGGAAAGATCTCAGTTCTACACTGCTTGGACCTCTGTTAGCCACTGGAACAAATGACAGACTGACAATGCACAGGGCACAAAGCCATGCAGAGTCAGGCCAACACTGCTAATGCCAGCAACGTGCTTCCAACGGTTCTACCCTACTCTTATGCTCCCAAAATCTGGATTCACCAACAGACATAAAGTAGTGGAAATTTCAAGAGGAAAAGAGTCGAACATAGACAAGTCCTTAAGGCAAGAATTATCTGTCAGGTGCAGTGATCAATACAGATTTTTTCCTGAATCATGCAGACCAATCAATGTCTCTGAACTGGAGAAATATGTGTCAAAACGCTCAGTACAAGATCCCTGGTTTTGTGCCTGCAAAGTTTTAAATCAATGCACATTCAAAGGTTGCTGTCAAGTAGCATTATTTGCATAACTTTTCAATATTTTAATTGCTTTGTTTCAAAAAGACAGCCATACTTAGTACTCGCCTGATGTTTTCTATCTTTAAATCTCAAAATTTTTCACAGAAGTAGATACAAGTAGTTTTGTGGATCTTCTACCTAGGAGAAATCTAAGAACTTTGTCAGGCAACTTGTAACAAATCTTGCTGTAGTGTCCTGAGAAATCATAGCTCCAAGCGTCTCACCCTCTATAGGATACAGCTATTAGAGAAGCACTGCCAGCAGGGAAGGTATGCCTGACACACAAATACCCCCATGCAGTATCTCCTATCCAACTGCAGAATCACAGAACATCCCAAGTTGGAAGGGGCACACAAGAATCATTGAGTCCAACTCCTTGTTCTACACAGGACCACCCAAAAATCAGACCACGTGTCTGAGAGCATTGTCCAAATGTTTCTTGAACTCCAGCAGGCTTGGTGCTGTTACAGCTTCCTTGGGGAGCCTGTCCCAGTGCCCGACCACCCTCTTGGTGAAGAACCTTTTCCTGACACCCAGCCTGACCCTCCCCTGTCCCAGCTCCAGGCCATTCCCTCAAGTCCTCTGGCTGGTGACAAAGGTGTCCTGAAGCTGTGTCAGCCTGCACTGCAGTGGATGCTGCACAAACAGGCATTTCTCCTGATGACTCCTCTGTGAGTGGGTAACTGCTGACAGGCAGATAGGTGGCCATCCTAAAATCCTGTGCCTTGAAATTCTGCAGGACTTATTTGCCATCTGATTGGGGTACAGAGATTGTCTCTTGGTCACCATGTAGCCTACCTCCAGTTCAACTGACATATACACGATGCCATGCCTCTGCTGCATTAATTTAAAAGCTAGGACCTCTGTCTTCCAATTTAGAAAAGGACAAGCAATTTTATTACTAAGAATATGATTTTTCTTATGGGCATTAGGATGCTGTTGATGCTGTACCAGCTTCTTAGCTTGTGACACAAATGTAAATGAAAGAAAAAGGTACAGGCAAAGCCCATTTTTCCTTTTCCTTATTCTTTTCTCTTTTTTTTTTTTTAATGCAAGACAATTTTTATTTTATTTTATTTTTAATCCATGTAGTCAGCCTGCGGGCTGATAACCCACGGGTAGAAAAAATGCCTCACACTGCACTGTTGGGCTCCCCTACAGAGCTCTGCCAACATGCCTAAAATAACATGGGTTTCATAATCGGAAGATTAAAGTCCTGGGTTTTAACCTTTCATGCCTGCTTATGTGTTGCAGTCTCTCTCTGCCCTTAGGCACAGGAGCTTAGGAGGACTGTTGTAGCTTCTGCTGACTGATGTTCATGTCGTGGGTTAGATGGACTAAACAGAGACCAAGTCTTCTGGAAAGCTCATTGCAACTGGAGCAAAAGAAGCGAAGATAAGAATGTGAAAGTTCGATTTGTGCTGGTAAATTAAACATGCTGCCAGTAAATTAAACATGCTCTGGAGTGGTTTCTGTTGCAAAGACCAACTGACATGGGACAGTTTTCATCAGTGTGGCTCTCAGCCTCTTTGGCTGGGTGGCCATACACATACTGCTCACTGGGGTTACTTCCTAGTCCCTGCTAACTCCTGACCCAAACCCTGGAGCTGCCTGGGAGAGTGACAGTCAGTATGAGGGGAAACAATGCCAAGAACAGCACGAGAAATTTAACAGCAATGGCCTTAGGAATGTTCTTTGTCACTGTTTAGTTCACTAGTACAGAAGTAACCAAACATCTAGGGGGAAATTTGCCCTACCAGTAAAACATCTAAGCATGATTCCCAGTAACAACAACAGTAAAAGAAATTTCTGTCCTAGCCCTGGCATGGAGAGGCTAACACGTCCATCAGTACGTAAGATGGTATAAAGGGGACTTCAGAAAGTTGGAGACATTTCAGGAAAGTCCTGTTTGGAGAATCTGATGAGAAGCAGGCAGCTAGTACTAGTAAACCCAAGTATGCATGCATGCTCTGTGAAAATTTCTTTCCTATTATTTGTTCATTTGTTGCTAAAGAAACACTGTTAAAAACACAAATAATGCAGAAGTAACTAAGGAAAAGATGTCTCTCACGCTTTATCTCACTTGCTCTGTAACCCAGAATCACCTACTATGGAGCTCTTTTTAGGCAAGGCAGGAGAACAGCTTCACTTTTCCTTGCAGCAGGGAAGCTGCACACACCCAGCAGGGTGCGGTTATACAGCACAGCCCTGCCTCGCAGCAGAAAGCCCACAAAGAAGAAACCATTGTTCTGCAGCAGATGCTCCAACGAATATAGGCTATAAATGCAGGGAAAAGCCTAACCGTTTTTCCCATCAGAACCTTATTATCCCAAGGATTTCTCTCTGAGGGAGCCTTGAACAGCCAAACTGAGCTAGAACTGTCAGCATCTTTTCCTGGAGCGTAAAAGGTTAAAGTTCTACAACCAAAAATTGTAAGGAAGCTAAATTTATTCATTTCCTTTTTTACATCTTAAAGGAAAGAAAAAAAAAGAGAGAAAGAGAGAGAAAAAGCTGGCAAAATGGGTTTTGTCAAGTTATTTGCTTGCTTTATTATGTCTATTTTTTACCTTGTTAGGAACAGCAAGACTGACTTTTTCCTCACAACACATTCCCTCTCAGCTACATTTATTTTGGGTGCTCACTCTAGTTGATGGACTGTAACAAAGATGACATTTTTGCAAAGTGTTTATCTGTCACTGGAGTTATATAGCTATGTCTAAAAATACAAGGCATGTTTTACACTGACTTACTGAAATTCTTCCATTCAGTTTTCCATCTCTTGATTTTGTCTTGCGGTTTCATGGAATTTATTCTGTCACCATGGCTGACTTCTGTAGAAGAGAAATACTTTGGATGTGAAATACACATAGTTCTTACAGTGCTTCATACGTGAGATATACCCAGCTCTTCCCGTTAGCTCCCCCTCCTTTCTCTCTCTTTCTCTGAAAAACAGGTCAGCAGTTTCTCTCCATCAAGAAAAAAAAAAAAAAAAAAAAAAAAAAAAAAAAAAAAAGGCAGACAAGCAACTTCCCTATCTTCCCTCCCAGTATTTTCCAGGTAGGAATATTTAATTACCTCAGAGATATTTAAATACCTCAGAGACCAGTGGAGAGAGCTGCCTATGCTTCTGATAACAAGGCAATTCCCTGGGGCTGCTTCTTGCCCGTTGTAATTACCCATGTTCCCTTACAACCACACGAATTTGTGAGGACACAAAGACTCTCATGACCATGAAGCCTGCTAGCCAGGTAGCAGTAGATACAGAAAACAAAGATAATTTGCTATTTTAACTGAAAAGGCAAATGAATAACTATTCTCCTACTCCAAGCCCCAGGAAGTCTCCAATTCCCCCCAGAAACCTCCCAACTACCCTTCCAAATCCATCCCTTCCCACCTCACCTCCCTTCTCCCTACTCATTCAAGTCAATCCCAGCCAAGAAGGTCACCAATCCTCTCTCCCCATACGAATTACAAGTTCTGAAATGTTTTTGTTGTTCCTTTTTGTAGATACCCAGGCTGGCTCAACCAAGAGAGCTCCAAATCACTACAGCTGCATCACCCAGGCCTAGGCAGAAGTGAATTTGCCCTACACAGAAGCAGAGCTTAGTTTTCCGGAGCTTAGTGACCGGACAAACAGCAGCCTGAGAGCCAAGCCAATTCCTGCAGAGTGCTGAGCAACAGCATCGGCAGGCTCAGAGCTCTCAGCTGGGTCCCACTGGGTGATGCAGATGTGAAATCATGGAAAAAAAGGGCTGTGAGAAGACCTAGGAAGGTCATCCACGCTGCCTCGCTGCTTTAACTGATTTTTTTTTCACACTCAGAGAGAATTGCCTCTGGCAGAGCAGATAACTGAGCTGGTGTTTCTCAAAAACTTCGTGATAAGCACACTGATCACAGGACCAGCTTCTCTTACATGATGCAACCTCACCCTTCACCCTCTGCTGCTTCAGGAAGTCTGACTTTGGAGGCCTGGTCCTTGCGGACAGCTACAGACAGTAGGAAAGGAAGGAAAAACGGTGACAAAACCAAACCAAACCGAAACAAAACTTTCCTCATCCTCAGATAAGGCATGTTAACTAAGCACTGCTGTTGGCTTCTGACCACCCATGTGCTACACAAGGAGTGCTTTGATTTCGATATGAAATCAAACCTGTCGTTATTTCCTCATAATTAGAAGGTCCCCACAGCGAGGAAATGACAACAATAGGAGGAGGACTGAAGAACAAATACAGCACGATGCCAGCAGTGCTTACTGGCAGGCAGTATCTTTGTTCTGAATATGTGACTCACGGGTAAATGTTCTCCCTTGCCTTGCCTATCCTTCTTCACAGCAGTAACAGTTATCTACTCCCTCTGCTCCCCGCCCCCAGCCGCCCTTTGCATCCCTCCACCTCTTTGTCTGACAAAGTTATTCTGTACATTTAAGTCCTTAACTAGGCATCAAAATCAATCTGACTTTTATGGAAGTGTTTTAAAGTGATTGCTTTAGAAGAGCCCTGCCAAAACTTGGTGACTGTCTTCCTCAGCAGGGGATGGCATTTCAGAAGCTTTAACAGTTAGAAAAATTCTGCTTACCTCTGGTTGTAGAAAATGCTGGTTTTATGGGTTTGTAAACAAAACAAGCAGGAAGAATTTAAGAGATGAATGATACAATTACAAGATTAAGTGATAGCCTGTATTCAGTTCTCTTGTTTCCCTTTAGGCTTATTTGTCCAGAGCTTGTAACACAGTGCTGCCTTTTTATACCACTTTCATCCAGTTTATGCTTTCACAACCTCTAATTTCACTGCTGATGTTAATAAATGCCCGCATGTGTTAATGCAGGGCTTCACGTGCCACAGAAGTTACGTTACCTTCCTGTCATTTGGGTGACAAAAATGAAGCTACCTGGCTTCATGTGAAAGCTGAAGCAGAATCAGAAAGACATGATTCCAGTTCCCTGGCTCTTAAATCCTGACCTCTAACCACTGCTACAATTTTTTCCTTTGCGATGCAATTGTGTAGATCGCTTACTTTGCAAACCTTTAATTTTGCAAACAAAAACGAGGACCTCCTTCCTTTCACCTTCTGGTCTGTTCTAACGTGTAGCTTGCAGATACTGCCGTATTTGTGTAGGTGGAAATGACAGCTGTGGCACCAGTGGAAGAGGGACCATCATCAAATCTTCCAGGTTCTTCCTCTTGGGAAGGAACAGACAATGTCACAGTTCCTGTAATCTGAACCCGTGTAGCTATTTTTCCTTTTCCGATCAGAGTAAGGAGCTACACAGTTCTACCACCTGGATAAGCAAATGGCATCCACAAGGCTCACTGCCCACTCAGTCCTACCACCTACGTTCAGCAGCACATCGTTTCTGCCAGGAAGGCATCTCCATTCAGAAGACTCCATACGGCCGACCTTCAGCCTTCCACAATGTACTGCCTGCACTGGGCTAACCTGATCGGTAACACAGAGCTAGAGAAAGCAGCACGAGTATACTGCAGCTCTCTGAACTCATCAATCATACTAAGTAATTTGAAGAGGCCACAGATGGTACACTCATACCCCCAGAATTGTTCCCCGAGACTCATTTCCTGTTCCTCACGAAAAATGCTAGAAAATAAAATACTCTCCCTTTGGATTCTACTGCTCTTCATGGTTTCCCAGCTTGAGAAAGTAATAGGAATCCCTTTACTTTGCCAAACCTGTGGAGCCCAATGCAAATGACATCCCATTAGCATTTCTTACCATGCATTATTCTGCCTACAGGAGAACAATGCAAATGAAAATGAAGATGTTTTGACAGAAAAGGTGATGAGAAAGCCCATAGATTACACAGATATTCTGGCACCAGATGTGCTGTGAATTATACAAGACAAAAAAGAGACAATTTCTCTCTCGGAAAGAGGATTTATTTGAATATCTTTTATAAAGTGTAAAACGCACACAGTTTACTAAGGTAATGGTCCATATCATTACAGCAATGCTATGATAAATCTTTTGCCTCCAGTTCCCACTGGCTGAAAACAGCATGTTTACTGCTAAACTCTGCATCCACCAAAGGGATTTGCACTGACAGTAAACAATTGATTACATCCGAGAGGGAAAAGCGGGAGAAGGGAGAATTTAGGGCTTGCTCTCACCCCAGCGATCTCACTGTTGACACAGGTCACGACTGCACTGCCAGGTACCCGAGGCTCTGACCTCAGCCCGGGCCATGCACCACTCACATGGTGCACATCCTACCTTGTGCATGCTGCAGAGCAGACTTTGCCCAAATGCCTGCAGGCTCTTGAAGGACGGAGGCTGGTCCCCTCCACGTGCGCTCTTGCTCCTTGGAGCTGCACGGCAGCAGGCGAGCTCTGGGCCGGCACAACATCATCCTAGCATGGCTGTGCCAGGTAGTTTTCCTCTCAGCGAGGAGCAGACACCGTGCGGGTGGCCTGCAGCCAGAGACCTCTCGGTGCCACCCTTGCCCTTGTGGTGAGGTGGTTTAAGGCACTACATGTGGCTTAAGCTCTGGGTCTGGTTTCGCTCTTCATTGCACTGACAGAAATGACCAAAAAAAAATAAATAAAAATCACGTCAGGTATTTCAGAAAGGGCACTGCAGTGTGGGTCTGTAAAGTTTGACGCAGGACGCACGCTAATTGGGTGCAAAACGTTATCCTGCACTTCAGCCCCGATAACTGTCACAGCAGCTCGCTTTACGGACTGGGAGCTGAGGCTGAAACACTTCACAGCTTTCAGTTTTGTTTTGTTTTTTTCACTTTTATCCCGCGTTAAAGCCAGGGCCAGGACCAGGACCAGGACCAGAACCAAGACTACACTGCCCGGCGTGCCCGCCCTGCCCCGCCCCAACAAGATGGCGGCGGGGCGGGAGCTGAGGCGCGGCTCCCGCCCCCGCTGAGGGCGCCAAGATGGCGGCGCTGCGTGAGGGGGAGTTCGCCGCCCTGCGGGGCCTGCTGAAGGTGAGCGGGCCTGCGGGGCCGCCGCCACGGCGCTGCCGGGGGCCGTTCCCTGCCCGGCGGCGGCGGCGGCTGAGCGCGTCCCGCTTTGCTCCCCGGCAGGCGCCGTCGAAGGAGGCCGTGCGGCAGCTGTGCCAGGACTGCTTCTCCAGCCCGCCCGCCGGGCTCGGCCCGCTGGCGCAGCGCGCCTGCCCCGCCATCGCCGCCAGCCCCGAGGAGGCGGCGCAGGTAGGAGCCGTGGCCCCGGGTGCGAGGTGGAGGCGGGCGGCCGGGGTGGAGGGGGCTGGGGGCTGCTCCTTGTCCGGGCTGGAGCCCCCTTCTCCCGTCTGCCTGTCCTGCAGCTGGTGGCCGCCCTGCACAGCCTCACCAGGCACGTCGTGTACCGCGGCTTGACGAGGGCGGAAGATGTCCTGGCGCTCTTTCCAGAAGACTTCCACCAAAACCTGAAGAACCTCCTAACTAAGATAATCCTGGAGAACGTGTGAGTGTTACCGGCCGCTTTCGGTTGGGAAGTTCAGGTGGGTTCGCCTGGTTTGCTACGTGGGTGCTTGGCAGCGCAGGGTTTTGGTTCTGGCCGTGTTGGGCACGCTGCGGGCTGAATCGCAGCGCCCGCGATGAGCTGAGCCCAGTGCTGATACCATTTTTTCCCTTCTTTTCACAGCTCTGCTTGGAGGAATGAGGCACAAGCAAGTCAGAGTAAGTAGCGTCTCACGTTCTGATAAAATTAACGCTCCTGAGGTCATTTGAGCGAGCTTGGAGTTCAGCACTGTGCATCACAGAGTGTTTCAGTGCGGTGCAGCACAAAGATAGCACCCTTTGCCTTAGATGAAGCTGTATGCTTGGGGCATCATTCAGCTTAGGAGCAGCCAGTAAGTTTGTATTCAGATCTGTGCTAAATTGTTTCCAGTCTGGGAGCGATTTCACTTAATGCTCAATCTGTTGCTACATGGCAGAATGCAGTGTGGACATGGCAAGTATTTGCCGAACTTCTGAATATGAAGCACTCTGACCTCCCAATTCAGGTCTTTAAATGATGTCCATAGCCAACAACTATGAGCTGCAAAGCATATGTTTGTATTGGGGAATGCCTTATCTGTGCACATTCAGTCACTTCTATGCATTCTTTCTCTTCCAGATGTGGCACACTCATAACTTGCTTTTTCCTCACCTTTCTAAAGCGTGATGTAGTTAAGCCGTGCAAATGTTATCAGTAGCATCAGTCAGTGAGTAACCTCCTAGTTAAGTGCTCCACACAGCTATACTCGTTTGTTTTTTCCCTTAAGAGGTTTTCTTTTCAGCCGTAGCACTTAGAAATGAGAGCTGATTCATAACAGGAGTACTCTGAGGTCTGCATAGATCCTCTTGGCCTTTCTCTTAGCCTGCAGAGGAGATGATGTCCAAGAAGTAAACACTATAGCAAGACCCGGAAAACCACTGTCCCTCAAAAATCTTAATAGTATAAATGGTAGAAAATAGGGAGGGGGAGGAAACTATTGCATAATGCTAATACAGTAAATACAGCAGCTGCTTAGTCTAAACATTGTTCTAGCGTTGCCAAGACACGCAGTGCTTTTTCCTGTATCCTTAACACTATCATGCCTTAGAGGAAATGAGAACAAGCATGACATGCCAGCGACACACTAGCTAGGTCTGCACAAAGGAGAAGCAAGGCTGGGTGTATGGCTCCTGGAGCTTTGCTCCGAGATGAAGTGTTTTTGTATTTATTAGATTTAGCCCTGTTGTAATTTATTTTTTTAAGAAATGATGGATTATTTTAATGTTATATTCATGAAATATCCAACACATATTACACAGGGGCCAAGGCAGTGCTTTAAAGAACCGACACTCCAACTGATAGTTCTGTGTTAATCTGAAAATGTGGATGGCTTCCTGTCCCTCCAAGCTGCCAACAATCAATCTTTGCAAATTAACATACAAGACTAAACAGATGCATTTTATGTTGTTGCAAATACTGCCAAGTGCTGGTCCTGATGGACTGTAAACTGGAATTTCTTCCAAACACAAGAGCAAGGCAGCCAATTCTGCAGTGCCCCCTGGAGTTCTGAGGGGAGGAGGAGCCTTTTCCCGATAAAGACAAATTCCTCTGAGCACCAGGAAGCAGAAGGAAAGCTTGGGATCACATGGGATCGGCCCTCAGGGAGGAAACTAGCACCTTATGGCATGCAGAATCCAGGCAGGCTGCAGTTGCCTGTTGGAACAGTTCTTTCTGCAGCATTCAGTACAGGTTTAGTCTTTGCTTCTTCATCCCCCTCTGATACCCTTAAATAGATACCAAACCTGACCACCAGCAGTTATTTGCCAAGGCTTTGCAAAGATGCTCAAACTTAGCAAGCACCACAGCTGAGATTTTAAACTGAGTTTAAGAATAAACGATCATCTGTCGAGAGGCAGGAGACCTTTTCTCCATTAACACCAGCGACAGGACCCGCGGGAACGGGGTTAAGCCGAGGCAGGGGAAATTTAGGCTTGACATAAGGAGGGGGTTCTTCACAGAGAGGGTGGTTGCACACTGGAACAGGCTCCCCAGGGAAGTGGTCACTGCACCGAGCCTGTCTGAATTTAAGAAGAGATTGGACTGTGCACTTAGTCACATGGTCTGAACTTTTGGGTAGACCTGTGCGGTGTCAAGAGTTGGACTTGATGATCCTTAAGGGTCCCTTCCAACTCAGGATATTCTATGATTCTATGATCTCTCTACAGATCTTTTATGGGGTTGGTCCTACGTTTCTTTCAGACTCATTTCAAAAGCCTGAGCCACACAGGAACAATGTTTCCCTGTGTGCCTGGTTCTCATTTGTTCTGACACAGTAGTTAAGCCTACTAGCTGCAAATGCCTGTTTCAAACTGAGAGGGTTTGCCATTGTTCCCATGTCCCTAGTGTAGACTTCCTTCTAGCGAGAAGTTACTGGTTTTCCCAGGAAATTGGATGCTGCACTGTTGAACACAAGAAGCGTAGCTCAGCTTTTACCAGAAAATAGAGTTGAAAAAGATGCGAGAGGTGTTATGTGTCTTATAAATGCAACAGCTGCAAAGTGGGGATGACAGGGGCTCACAGCGCAATGTGCAGTACTCCATTAAGTACATGCCATCACCAGTGACTGTCCCCATCTCTTCTCTGCAGCAAGGGCCAGCTGCACAAGTTTCCTGGCAGGGCAACCAAGTTGGACCTTTTCCTTCCCAGTGGAAGGCTGATGGAATTTGCAGCCCCAGCACTATGGATGTCGATGTTGCATCAGACTCCTCAATGATTTCTCTAATGCGAGATCTGACTAGGATGGAACTGAAACTACATCTTCAATATTTTTAACAAATTGGCAGGACGTGTGAAGATTCCGGTTTCCCAGTTCTGTACTGCTTGGTTTTTAAGAAGATTCCTACGTGCTTTCTTGCCAGTTACAGAACAGAGTATAGCAGGTCCCAGAGTAACTCATGATTAAACACTGAGTCTTGCAAGCAGGGTATGAAGAGGTGAAGATAACTTATTGCTCCCCTTCTCTTAGCTGCTCTGTGAATTTAGCTGTGCTTGTCTTGCATTTTAGCATCCTTGCTTGTGATGATGGAGAACCCTGTTTGTTATTCCAGCGTCACATGGAGGCCTTATTGACTGGCTTATTACAACATAAAAATGATGTGAAGCCAGGTAGTAGCACTACAGCCGTACATTTTTCACAGGACCAGCAGGATTCTGTTAGCAGAGAGGCATGTGTATGGTGACAGGCACGGGTTCTGGAGGCATCGTGTGCTGCCAGGCCTAATTGATCCCTGTTTTTTAATCCCTCAGTCTCCTTGCCTCGGCTGGTCGACATGGACTGGAGGGTGGACATCAAGACATCGTCAGACACAATCAACAGAATGGCAGTCCCTACTTGCCTGCTGCAGTTAAAGGTAATGTCAGGACCTGTACAGGACCAAAATAACTGAGTCCAACACCTGATTTACCAGTGGCAGCACAAAATAGTTTGGACAGGCATCTGGTGCTTGCTTACTGCCTGAAGGGTAGGAGCAGTGAGGCCCCTGAGCAATTCACAGACTTTCTCAGAGGTGACTTTGACATACAGCAGAACCTGGGAATGATCTCTGCAATGAAAGCCATGTTTTTGTGGTGAGGGAGAGATTTCTTTGCATGATGATGAGAGAAAGCAGCGTACTTGTGCCTAGCCACCATTGTTCTCTACAGAAAGAAAGATAAATTACAGGGAAGCCATTGGCCTTTAGTTCTAAGTCACTCAGCAGTATGTTTTAGTTGGGAGATGTCTTCTGATTACTAATAATTTCCATCACTGTCCCCATCTGTCATTCAGGGAGCATAGCCAAAGTTAATGCTCATATTCTACAGAACTCTTGATTCCCCCAAACCAGTAAAAATGGGATGGGTAGGCTTCAGAGGAGGAGGAACAATTAATTTCTGTGTGTGGGATGTGATTACGTGTTGTGTGGGGTATCTGCTAAGATGCTTCTGATAGGGATGTGGCTTCCTGCCATGAGGCTCTTCAGAATTCCCCCACATTCACGGCTCAATGTGCTTACTGGCGCTCTGCTAAAGGGAGTGCACTCCACGGGTAAGGCTGACAGCAAGAAAATGGGCTCTGGGCTTCAGGATGGAGCTGGATGCCAAGTTTTTCTTAACCTGTCCATTAAGCACTGACTTTCCTAGTGGCACTGGAAAAAACATCAATGGATTTTTCATACACCTAACAACTGCGTTCC